CCCCCTCAGTGCCGGCGGCGGTGGTCGGGGCCTCCGGCAGCTGCGGGACACGCGGACACACCCGCCTGTGCCACACACGCACGCCCACCACGCAGCTGCACCCACGTGCGCGTGCTACACATGCACCCACGCGTGTGCCATAGGCACGCGCGCGCTCGCCACACACGTGTGCGCGCCCCCCCAATTCACACACACGCGTGTGCCACATACACACACGTGCGAGGGTGCCACACGTGCACACGCATATACACGCACAGCATGTGCCACATATGCACACGCGTGCTACACGCGCGCCCAGACGTGCCGCCCGTGTACGCATAAACGTGTCACACGCATATACACCCACACACGCGTGCCACAGGCGCGCGCCCGCCACACACCTGCAGACACGTGCGCGCGCCACCCCAATTCCCACACACACACGCATGTTTCACATACACGTGCAAGGGTGCCACATATGCACACACATATACAGGCGCACACGCGCGCCCAGACGCCCCACGCATACACGCGCCACACGTCTATGCGCGCACACACACACGGGCGTGCCCCCGGCAGGGATGCCGGAGCCCGCGTGTGCGCGCCGGGCCGGGCTGGCCCCTGGAGGCGGGCGGGGGCTGCCCCTCCGTGCCCCACTGCTGCCCTCCCTCTCCTCTTCACTCATCTCCATCCCCCACTCCCCTCGGGATCCGGCCCCGGCCCCGGCCCCGGCCCAGGGCAGAGCTGCCGCCTGCTGCTCCCGCCCCTCAAGCCCTGCGGCAGCCGCCGGCGTGCGGGGCGCGGGGGGCCTGTGCGGGGCTGCCTCAGCCCTCAGCGGTCCCCCACCCCACCCAGGCGGGCGATCCGGCAGCTTGCAGGCAGGAGGGAAGTGGGTCGGGGGCGCGGGGAGATGGGAGTGGGGGAAGGAGGAGCGATCTCCCTTTCCACGCGGGGCAAATTGGACTGGGAAATGTCCTGGCCCCCGCCCAGAGAGAGAGACAAGGAGCTGGCCCTGCCCGTGGGGCTGGAGATGGCCGGGGGGGGGGGGGGGCCTGCAGGCAGGCGGCAGTGGGAAAGGTTGGGGACTTTCCAAACTAGGCAGGGTTAATTAAGGGAATATTTTTTTCAAGCCTGAGAAGAAACAAATGAGCTTATGTGTAAAGGATCCAGAGAGGGGGGGGAAGAGGAGGAGGAAACAAAGCAAAAAATATTATAAGATCCACAACCCCAAAGCCAAGGTGAAATAGAGATTAAAAGTCACTGGTCTAAATCCTGCTTTGTACCCTGCACCTTTAAGCAAGGAAACAAGACTGATCCCTCTTGTCCCCCTTTCAATGCCTTCCCCAGAGGAGATGCGTTAAGAAGAAGTGTTTGGACACACACTGATTTTATTTTCTTTGGGTCAAACTTTGCTGCTCTTAGGCATAACAGGAATTTTCGTCTCCAGATAGACTCTCTCACTTTTTCCACTAGTAAGAATTTGGTTGGGGCTGTGATCACACCTTTTACACTGGAAAGATGCACCTGCTGAGATGTAAGGGTTTGCATACATTGTTTTTGGCAAGATTGGGGCCTTATTGTGAATATATATATTTTAGATCTAAAACACCCAACAGAAAGTTAATGAAAAAGTAATTTGCTTAAGATGTTCAAACAAAAACTTAAAGCACTGAATACTAAAAAGCAGGCAATAGTATGTTCAAAGCATCAAGGTAAAATAAAAGGTGCTAATTCAGAACAGAATAACAAATCAA